TCCTTCCTTCCTTCCTTCCTTCCTTCCTTCCTTCCTTCCTTCCTTCCTTCCTTCTTCCCTCCCCCCTCTCTCTCCCTTTCTTTTCTTTCCTTTCCTCTTTCTTTCTTTCTCTCCTTCCTTCTTTTTTCTTAGTTGAATAATAACACTTTTTAATCGATCAGAGGGTTGAGAGTAGGAGGAATGGCGAAGAGCTACTGGTGGTAGAGAGATATGTGCAACTAATGCAGAATACACATACATTGTGATTTTTCAAAGCCACCTTCTTGCTATGTGAGTTAGCCATGTAATATCTTCCTAACTCCTCCAGAGAAGGGATATCCTTGCTAATCTTGTTCACTTTGTCCACATTCTCCCATACATTCTCCAAACATTTTTAAAAAAAAATTTTTTTTTCAACGTTTATTTATTTTCGGGACAGAGAGAGACAGAGCATGAACGGGGGAGGGGCAGAGAGAGAGGGAGACACAGAATCCGAAACAGGCTCCAGGCTCTGAGCCATCAGCCCAGAGCCTGATGCGGGGCTCGAACTCACGGACCGCAAGATCGTGACCTGGCTGAAGTCGGACGCTTAACCGACTGCGCCACCCAGGCGCCCCCAAACATTTTTAAAACAAGTCCATTGAGCTATGATTGAAATGCAATAAATAGCACATACTAACCAGCATATAATTTGGTAAGTTTTGACATATGCATACACCTGTTGTTTCCTGTGCCCCCAACCAACTGCTGAGTTGCTTTCTGTCACTTTCGATCACTTCACATTTTCCATAATTTTACATAAATGGTATAGTACAATATGATCTCAGACTTCCAGCTTCCAGAACTATGAGACAATTAAATTTCCATTGCTTAAGTCACCCAGTCTGTGGAATTTGTTATAGCAGCCCTAACACATAAATACACTTCTTTAAAAAACATATCTCATGGCATACTTCCTAGTGTGACACTATTTCTTCCAAAATAATAGTACAGAATATAGTGAATTTATAACCCAGTTTATTTATATTGACAACAGCTTATAAAATAAGAAAAATATATCTGCTAGTGATTTCCCGGCAAAGACTTACACTTACCTCAAGAACTCCCTTTTTGGTATTTAATATACAGTTGGTAGCTGTCTTCAGTCCTTTTGAGATGAGACAAACCAGGGCTTAGAAGTCCAAAGAGCTTGGGATTGCAGAAAGATTCCCAAGTGGGGAGTAAGGAAACAGAGCAGTAGCTGATGCTGTTGACTGCATTTCACTTTTCTCTACTAGCAGCTACAGGAGGCATTTCTCTTGGGATGCAGTATCCAGCAAATTTGGCTTCTCCTGAAAATTTGTTTATTTTGACCTGAGGATATTATAGCCTAGTAAGTGAGTGTGGCTCCCTCTGGAAGAGCCGAATAATTGGCTGACTTCTCCCAAGAGTACACGTGTGCACGTCTGTGGGCTGTGCTTACCCATCTTCATTATTTCCTAACCTATCTTCTCCCTTCATCCTGACTCTATTTCCCTTTGTGCTTTCATACTGTATCCATCATGGAAAGAAGGGAGGATACATAAGCGGATAGGGAAGAATATGAATATTATCTTGGCCTGCCTTGCCAGGAGTTCCAAATTCTGGCCGAGGTAGACACGCCAGATTCTCCAGGTACCAGTCTCACTGCAGAACTTGGTGTTAGGTGTAGACAGCTTAGTCCTCCTTTATTCGAAGACAAACCATCTTATACCAAATCAAAGGTGTTGGCAACAGCTTACTAGCGGAATGCTTTACTCAAATGAGTGATTCTGATGTCATACCATTCCCACTCACCCTTCTTTCTCTTCCTCCCCTTCTTTTTCTTCCTCTTATGAGAATTGGAATAGAACTTTGAGGACCAGGGTGCAGGGAAATGCTGATATTCTCTGAGGTTGGCATTCTGATTCCTGATTCCACTGCTTAAAATTCATTGTTCTTGGATTTTTCCCCATATTACTTTGTGCGTCTGTGGAAGCATTTGTTCACCATATTTTGCAAAGGTGTTGTCTCCAAATGGGTTGAAAACGTACCTGAAGGCACGTCTTAGTCGATGTAAACACTGCAACACTTATAACGATTGTATGCACAAAGCAAGACCTCAACAGTGTTCAAGGTGTTTGTTTGTATTAATATCAAGGTGTTTAAAGCAGATTTGCTAGGAAGGGGCCCGATAAATGGCCCATTCGCCATTCGGTGATTCTTAATGCTTTAAAAAACCTTTTCATAAAGTTGTTTTGGTGGTTAAAAAATCCCAGAACTTTCCCCCCTTAAGACCTATCCTTTTTCACCCACCACTTCTTTTTCGTTTATGTATCCTTCGAACTTCTAAAAATGTAGCCCAAAAGGGTGGTGGGCTGGTGGTGGGGGTGCGGGGCTTGGCGGGGGGAAGGTGAGCAGAAGGCCAACCCATAAGCTATCCTTGGGATTTTTACTTACCTACCCTAAGATTACGGATCTGAGTTGTGATCATCAGGGATTGTTTACTCACTCAGTTTGTAGATTATAAATGGAAGCGGGAACTAACAGTTATTGAATCTACCATGAGTCACATACAAGTTTTTCCTCATACAATTCTCATGTTATCCCCCAAGGTAGAAACTGGGAAGATGACGGAAAGAAGGAACTGAGCTCGGCTTTCAGGCTCTCAGACAAGCAGGGGGTGGAACGCAGCCGGATTTCAAAGAGAAGCTTTACACCCCCCCTTCGTGTCTTTGCCTCCTTGGGTGGAGCACCTGCTACGGGTGTTCACTTTCCCTTCGCGCTATCGTTCCTGCACAGACAACGGGCACTCTGCACCAGAAAGTCACCCGTGTTGAGTCAAAGTTCCCGGCAGCGCCACCCTCTTCGCGCCGCACCCTAGATCCTAGCCGGCCGCCCCAGCCCTAGGCACTGCAGTTGTCCCAGCCCAGCGGCGGGCAGCTCCGATATTTAACTCCACGGGTCGCTGGCCGCAGACTCTCCCCTGAGGCTCTTCGGCACCGCCCCTACCACCACACGGCTCCTCTGATTGGACGTGGCTGCGCCCGGCCGGCCAATGGCTTGGCGGCGGCAGGTTCCCGGAAGTGGCGGCGCGGCCCGGGAAGACCTCAGTTTCCGCAGGCTGAGTCGGGGCCGGTTCCGCTGGCTTCGCGGGCGCTATGAGTTGCTTCCAGGGACAGATGGCCGAGTACCCAACCATCTCCATAGACCGCTTCGACAGGGAGAACCTGAAGGCCCGCGCCTACTTCCTGTCTCACTGCCACAAGGGTGAGAGAGCGTGGCTCGCCGCCCGTCCCCGGGGACGCGGGCTGCCAGGGTCGGGGCCCCGCGGGGAAGCCGCCCGGAGCGGGTGGGGGCTCCAGCCAGGGAGTGCAGGCTTCGGGAGGCCAGGGCCGAGACTAGCAAGTGCACCTTGTCCCAGCCTGGCTCTTCAACTTCTCTGAGGCTTTATTTCCTCATCTGTACAACGGGTTGCGCCTTGACCCGGGCCAGTTTGACCAGGCATAACTCTTAGGTTCTCGTGGTAGTTCTCCTAGCAGCTCATAGTCAGAGGTCAGCGAGGATTACTCACTTCTTCCTCCACATCTTCGCTACCGTGTTATAAAGAAGACAAGTTTCAGATGAAATTCCGCCTTACCCCGCAAACACTTACCATCAGGCAGGTGCATTCACTCACAAACATCCTGTCTGTGAGCTCTACAAAGTGCAAGCGGCCCCTCCTTTTAGATGTTCTTGCCACATCCAGTATAAAGGATTCGTGTAAGGCGAGGCAACCAGAATACTAAGATTGCACAGTTGCACACGGTTAGGGATTAAGCCTCAGTGTCACCCCTAATGATACAGCCTGGAGATTAGATGCTTCAGGAGAGGCGGGGTGTCTCTAAAACATCCGGGCCAATCTCCAGAGCTGGAGTAGCACTAATTTCACAACCATTGTCCATTTTTAACATCTCTTGTGCTGAAGTTAGTGTTGTGGGGAAATGCCTCAGCTTTCTTGCTCGAACCTACCAATTATCACATTAATGAGGAGAATCTGGACTTGCTCTCTCCCTTTGCAAAATAGCACTGTGAGCCTCTTTGAGGGTCTTTCTGCTTATTCTCCAGAGTAATGCTTTTGTTTTTGGTTTGTTTCTCATTGTGAATCGACTGCTGGGTGGGGGTACCTCTGTTTTACCCTGATAACCATGATTGAAGTGTGGCTTAGGGGCTTGCCCTTTATGTTACGAATAGTGAGTTTGAAGAAAGAATCCATCTAAAGGAATCTGAAGTCACGATCATTCGATCATTCGTTTGTACGTTAAACAAGAAACTGACTTTCTATTATTGAGCAGTTTATAATAACTTTTCCTGTTCTCTAATCATATGTGTGTCTTTTTCCTCAATCAGAACGTTAAACTCATCAAGGGCAAGAACTTCTGCTTTCAGAAATTTCCCATGTTGCTTACTGGTGGTCTTCTAACCTTTCTGAGACATAGATTTCTTTGGATGTGCTGTGGACTGAATTGTGCGTCCCCCCCTCCCCAGTTTCATATGTTGAAGCCCTAAACCCCCATGTGACTATATTTGGCGATGGGGGTTTTAGGGGACAATGCAACTGAAATGAGGTTGTAAGGGCGGGGTCCTAATTTGTTAAGATTGATGGCCTTATAAAAAGAGGAAGAGAGGTTTCTCTCTTTCTACACACACACACACACACACTCACACTGAGAAAAGGTTGTGTGAGCACACAGCAAGAAGGTGGCAAGCCAGGAGGAGTGTCTCCCCAGAAACCAACCTTGGAATTGAGCCTCCAGAGCTGTAGGAAGTTTCTGTGCTTTAAGCCGCCTTGTCTATGGTATTTTGTTGTGTCAATCTGAGCAGACTAATACAGAATATCTGACAAACGCTATGGATTTTGGAAGAAAAAAATCACATAGATACATTAACATCCCATTTTGATACAACATCAGATCCCATGGACCACTCGATGCCTGTTTGTGGACCACCAGGCATCCAGTGCTGTGCTCAGGGTGGGCTTTACTAAGCCTCAGGAAGGTGCGGAGGACAAGAGGGGACCCACGGCCTGAAATAGTGGGCCAGGGTGGGAGAAGACCCCTCTAGGGAACAATTTGCGATGACTTAATCTGGTCCAGGAAAAGGGGAGAGGAGACCCTGGGTGCAGGCCTAGCACAAAGTAAACTGGCCCGGTGCTCTAGGCTGCCAGTTAGGAAGGGGGCTGGAGTGGTCCTCGGCCGTCTTGATTAAAACAGCTTGTTTTGAATAATAGTCATTCATGATAGCCGCACTTTCTGGTTCTTGGAGCAAAGCTTTTTATAAGCAAAAGGAATGTATGGAATTAAACACTTATAGTAAACATAAAAGGGAGAGAAGGATAGAGAAGAACAGAGGAGAGTTAAGACATCAAATCCGGTACTCACAAAATCCAACCTTCTGGCTGGGGAAGGCCCTCGGTGAACAGCCTCGTTGGAGTCCCAGTTGAGGTTCCTGGGTGGAGCGTTCTCCACTCTGGTGAGGCTTCCAACTAGCTCTCCCGCCAGGGCAGTACGTACGCCACCCGTGTGTGATCTCCGCTTAGTCCTGAGGTTTGCCTAGTGCAGTCCTGAGTGAGCTGGTTTTTCTGTTTCTCTTATTGTATCTCACAACCTCGGGAGCCTGGGCGTCTGCATATTTCTCCGTCCTCCCTGACCTATTCCAGATAGATCTGGTCTGCCTCAAGGAGGTGAGGCAAGTTACCCCTTCTATAGAGCACAGCTAGAGAGTGCTGCCTGCTGATTTAGTTGAGGAGTGAGGAGCTGAGCCCCGATTCAGCCTCTTTTTGCCATGGCACAAATTCTTGGGAAATCCCAACGGCAAGTCCTGCCCTGGGACGCCCCCATAGGCCCTAAAAGCCTGGGGCCAGGAGTGATCTGAGGACATTCACCCTCCGAGGGGGCAGATGAACCGTCCTGTGCAGGTGCATGTCCTGTCAAGGTCTGCCACGTGGGGTGTGGTGACTGCCTTGTTTTCTCTGGAGTTCACATAATTTGATGAGGGTGTGTGTGTGTGCGGTGGTAATTAGAATAATTGGGATTGGTTTGATTAAGTAAATTGAGAAGGTGTGATCATTGCTATCTAGCAATCCTTCCCATGCTGAAGATTCAGAATGCATTAGAATGCACTGTACGTTTAATGTACTGTTTGGTTTAAATGTTATCTTTCTTTAAAGGCCATCTATCTGTTCATTTGGACAGCTGTGGAGCAGGCCTGTGTGAATGGAAATACACCACCTTTCGGCCCAGTAGTCACAGCAGGCTAAGAAGAGAATGAAATTCTTCTTTTTATCTCCCTTTTAAAAAGTTTATTTATTTATTTTGTGAAAGAATGAGAGGGTGAGTTGAGTCAGGTAGAGAGAGAGGGCGAGAGAGAGAATCCCAAGCAGACTCCACGCTCAGCGCAGAGCCCGACGTGGGGCTCAATGTCATGACTGTGGGAAATCAAGAGTCAGACGCTTAACTGACTGAGCCACCCAGACACCCCTGAGAAGGGAATGGAACTCTTCTGATGCTGGCCTAAGCCTGAAAGAGTTCCTGGAGGAATCTGTGGAAGCAAGTTCGAATTTCCAGACAGACTAACTTAAGTGACCAGAATGGAATGGGTCACAGATAATGTGGCCCGAAGGATGACTGGATTGAAATGAAAGAAGAATGTCAAGTTTGGAAGCAGTTCTGAAGTGAGAGGCTGGTCACTCATTCTTCTGTGGCTACTCGGAGTGATTTAGACTTAGTCCTAAGATGCAGGAGATCGTTCTCCATTTACATGGTGGCCAGAGATGCTCAGCTTTTAGTGGTTCCTGGCCTGTTTTCAGATGCCCTCTTCAGCTGCAGAAGAAAGAGCCAATGGCCCACATGAATCTGAATCCGTTCTCTTATAAAAGTGGACCTTTCGTGTATCTTCTCATAAAAGGAACTTAAAAAGAGCAGCCAACTGTTTGCTTGGTCTAAGGAATCCTCTCAAAAAAATGTGCTTATGATTTTTGATTTTTTTGTTTTTAGATCACATGAAAGGATTAAGAGCCCCTACCTTGAAAAGAAGGTTGGAGTGCAGGTAATTTATTTTGCTACGTGTGTGTGTGTGTGTGTGTGTGTGTGTTTTAAAATTTATTTCCTTATTTTGAGGGAGAGAGAGAGAGCATGGGTGTGCAGGGGAGGGGCAGAGACAGAGAGGGGGAGAGAGGATCCCGAGCAGGCTCTGTGCTGGCAGCAGTACAGCCCGATGTGGGGCTCAAACTTACAAACCGAGAGTTTTGACCTGAGCTAAAGCCAAGAGTTGGACACTTAACTGACTGAGCTACCCAGGTGCCCCGTATATGTTTTTTAAAGTAAACATCTTAATTGAGCTTTAGCTTCCCACGCAGAAAAGTACTTACACCATAAGGGTACAATCTGATGAACTTTTACAGGTGAACACACTTGTGAAGCTTCCACTCGGGTCAAGAAATAGAACAGGACCAGTGTCCCAGAACAGAGCTCCGTCCCTCCTCCCAGTCAGTCCTCCTTTCCCAGAGACAACCTGTAGTCTGACTTTTTGTCATCAGGGCCTAGCTTTGGCTGTTTTTGACCTTTGCGGAAATGGAATCATTTCCTCCTCTATTTGTTTTCTTTCACTTAACATGACACTTGTGGGATTCATCATGCTATTGGGTGTGCAGCAATAGTGTGTTCATTTTTATTTCTCCGACTGTGTGTACACTTGTGTGTATAACTAGTTGTTCTCTTGTGAAGAAAATCACTTGTTTTTGGATTTTAAAGCTAAACTACCACATTATTTTCCTGTAGGCATTGCCTAAATGTCAATAACAAGTCTCAAGATAGGTATTGGAAAAGGCCTCGTTGACTTGTTAACTTCGGAACCGGTGGGTGTCAGTCTTCTCTGTGAACTGGTATCTGTAGTCTGCCTTCTTGAGAATGATAGCTAATGTGTGTTGATTCCAGGCACTGGGAATTTATTAGTCCAGCAGTTTCTTTGAGTGCCTGTGATGAGTCAGGCACTGTACTGGGTGCTGCGGATATAATAGTGATGACTATTAAATTATTCAATTAGTTGCCCAAGGTCACGCAGCCAGTAAGTGGCAGGACCCGGATTCCAACCAGATCTGCCTGATTTTATGGCCCGTGTCTTAACTATCTATTGCTGTGTAACGAATTACCCCAAACAACTAATCATATATTCTGTGGGTCAGGAACTCTGACGGAGCGCAGTGGGGGTTGCTGGTTTCTGCCTGGCAGGGTGTCCTATGGGGGCTGCCATTATCCGGAGGCTTGTTCATTCAATATCTGACACCCAGGCTGAGAAGAACCAGGCAGCTGGGGCTTTGGGCATCTCTGTCACTAGCAAAGATCTTCAGCATGGTGGTTTCAAGATAGCTGAACTTCTTAAAGAGAGACTCGGGGCTTAAAAAGTGTATGTGTCCAGGGAAAGTTAGCAGGTAGCCATGTTGCCCAGAAGACATAGCCTCCAACGTCCATGCAACCTTCCTTCATCACGTTCTGTAGGTTACAAAGGCAGGTTGAAGGGGAGGTTAAAACAGACCCCTCCTGTCAGTGGAGGGATTTCCATTTTGGAAAAAAGACCATGTATGGTTGAGATATGTATTAGTGTGGCCATCTTTGGAAGATATGGTCTACCGCAGACTATATTTTTCACCTCTGAGCTTTGCTTTCGAATTTTTAAAGTTTATTATGAAATTGATTTTTGCTCACTAAGAAACAGGCTTATATGAAGTTAAACACAGAAGCCTTCTGTTCCCCACAGCCGTTTCCATTCTTGAGAGGTAGCTTCATTTGATGGGATCTTGCCGGACATATCTGATCATATACCTTTCACCGAAGAGTGATGGGGAACGGCTTTTGAAGAGGTCGGAGGGCACCGTAGTTTCTCATTTGCTGCTTCCCTGTTGTCCCTTTGCACTTTTTTTTTTTAAACTTCTGAAATAGTTTAATTTAGGGATGACTACTGGTACATTTGGTAATTGGGAGGAATTTCACTTAGTAAGTACATAATGCATGCATAATTAATTTACTTTGTGTTTGCATGCTGGGTTAAGGATCTTAGTTCTCATGCATTTGTGTTCATTAAAATGTTTCATGTTTATTAAAATTTAAAAGAATAGTCTTTTGATTTATTCTTTGGCCATGCACATTCGTTTTATTTTATTTTACTTTTTTTTTTTATTTTTATTTTTTTTCAACGTTTATTTATTTTTGGGACAGAGAGAGACAGAGCATGAACGGGGGAGGGGCAGAGAGAGAGGGAGACACAGAATCGGAAACAGGCTCCAGGCTCTGAGCCATCAGCCCAGAGCCCGACGCGGGGCTCGAACTCACGGACCGCGAGATCGTGACCTGGCTGAAGTCGGACGCTTAACCGACTGTGCCACCCAGGCGCCCCTATTTTATTTTACTTTATTTTATTATTTTTACTTTATTTTTTAACTTACATCCAAGTTAGTTAGCATATAGTGCAACAATGATTTCAGGAGTAGATTCCTTAATGCCCCTAATCGTTTAGCCCATCCCCCCTGCAACAACCCCTCCAGTAACCCTGTTTGTTCTCCATATTTAAGAGTCTATTATGTTTTGTCCCCCTCCCTGTTTGTATGTTATTTTTGCTTCCTTTCGCTTGTGTTCATCTGTTCTGTGTCTTAAAGTCCTCATATGAGTGAAGTCATATGATATTTGTCTTTCTCTGACTAATTTCGCTTAGCATAATGCCCTCCAGTTCCATCCATGTAGTTGCAAATGACAAGATTTCATTCTTTTTGATTGCTGAGTAATACTCCATTGTATATATAAACCACATTTTCTTTATCCATTCATCCCTGGATGGACATTTGGGCTCTTTCCATACTTTGGCTATTGTTGATAGTGCTGCTATAAACATGGGGGTGTGTGTGCCCCTTTGAAACAGCACACCTGTATCCCTTGGATAAATACCTAGTAGTGCAATTGCTGGGTTGTAGGGTAGTTCTTTTTTTAATTTTTTTGAGGAACCTCCATACTGTTTTCCAGAGTGGCTGCACCAGCTTGTGTTCCCACCAGTAGTGCAAAAGAGATCCTCTTTCTCCACATCCTCGCCAACCTCTGTTGTTGCCTGAATTGTGAATGTTAGCCATTCTGACGGGTGTGAGGTGGTATCTCATTTTGGTTTTGATTTGTATTTCCCTGATGATGAGTGCTGTGGAGCATTTTTTCATGCGTCGGTTGGCCATCTGGAGGTCTTCTTTGGAGAAATGTCTATTCATGTCTTTTGCCCATTTCTTCACTGGATTATTTGTTCTTGGGGTGTTGAGTTTGATAAGTTCTTTATAGATTTTGTATACTAACCCTTTATCTGATATGTCATTTGCAAATATCTTCTCCCATTCTGTCAGTTGCATTTTAGTTTTGCTGATTGTTTCCTTTGCTGTGCAGAAGATTTTTATTTTGATGAGGTCCCAATAGTTCATTTTTACTTTTGTTTTCCTTGCCTCTGGAGATGTGTTGAGTCAGAAGTTGCTGTGGCCAAGGTCAAAGAGGTTTTTGCCTGCTTTCTCCTTGAGGATTTTGATGGCTTCCTATCTTACATTGAGGTCTTTCTTCCAATTTTGAGTGTATTTTTGTGTATGGTGTAAGAAAGTGGTCCAGATTCATTATTCTGCAAGTCGCTGTCCAGTTTTCCCAGCACCGCTTGCTGAAGAGACTGTCTTTATTCCACTGGATGTTCTTTCCTGCTTTGTCCAAGATGAGTTGGCCATACATTTATGGGTCCATTTCTGGGTTCTCTATTCTGTTACATTGATCTGAGTGTCTGTTCTTGTGCCAGTACCATACTGTCTTGATGATTACAGCTTTGTAATACAGCTTGAAGTCTGTGCACTTTTTCTTTTAAAGATTTTTATTTTATTTTATTATTATTTTATTTATTTATTAATGTTTATTTTAGAGATAGAGAAAGACAGCATGTAAGTGGGGGAAGAGCAGAGAGAGAGGGAGATGCAGAATCCAAAGCAGGCTCCAGGCTCTGAGCTGTCAGTACAGAGCCCCACATGAGGCTCGAACCCACAGACTGTGAGATCATGATCTAAGCTGAAGTTGGATGCTTAACAGACTGAGCCCCCCAGGCACTCCTTATTTTGTTATTTTAAAAAAATTGTTTTTAATGTTTGTTTATTTTTGAGAGAGGGAGGGAGAGAGACAGAGCACGAGTGGGGGAGTGGCAGAGAGAGAGCAAGACACAGAATCTGAAGCAGGCTCAGAACTGTCAGCACACATATCGGACAAAGGGCTAGTATCCAAAATCTATAAAGAGCTCACCAAACTCCACACCAGAAAAACAAATAACCCAGTGAAGAAATGGGCAGAGAACATGAATAGACACTTCTCTAAAGAAGACATCCGGATGGCCAACAGGCACATGAAAACATGCTCAACGTCACTCCTCATCAGGGAAATACAAATCAAAACCACACTCAGATATCACCTCACGCCAGTCAGAGTGGCCAAAATGAACAAATCGGGAGACTATAGATGCTGGCGAGGATGTGGAGAAACGGGAACCCTCTTGCACTGTTGGTGGGAATGCAAATTGGTGCAGCCACTCTGGAAAACAGTGTGGAGGTTCCTCAAAAAATTAAAAATAGACCTACCCTATGACCCAGCAATAGCACTGCTAGGAATTTACCCAAGGGATACAGGGTACTGATGCATAGGGGCACTTGTACCCCAATGTTTATAGCAGCACTCTCAACAATAGCCAAATTATGGAAAGAGCCTAAATCCCATCAACTGATGAATGGATAAAGAAATTGTGGTTTATATACACAATGGAGTACTACGTGGCAATGAGAAAGAATGAAATATGGCCCTTTGTAGCAACATGGATGGAACTGGAGAGTGTTATGCTAAGTGAAATAAGCCATACAGAGAAAGACAGATACCATATGGTTTCACTCTTATGTGGATCCTGAGAAACTTAACAGAAACCCATGGGGGAGGGGAAGGAAAAACAAAGAGGTTAGAGTGGAAGAGAGCCAAAGCATAAGAGACTCTTAAAAACTGAGAACAAAC